GGGGTTGGCGAGAAACGAGTGGCGGGAAGGGGTTGGCAGGAAATGGGTGGCGAGAAAATACATTTCAGCATGAGCCATGCAACTTCGGCCTACGCGAGACCGAAGTAGTACTTTTCGGCCTAGACTTGACCAAAAAGTCTATTTCGGCCAAGAGTTGACCGAAAATTAACTTTTCGGCCAGGTGCCCCACTTTTCGGTCAAGTGTTGGCCGAAAACCCTACTTCGGCCTAACTTTGGCCGAAAACTACTACTTCAGCCAGAAGATGGCCGACGGGCTACTAGTTTTGGTTTTTTTGCATTACGTCCTATAGTTTCCGAAAATGCTATAAAAAAGGTGATAGTTTTGAAAAAAAATCGATTAGATGGAAGGGGCTCACTTTAAACAAATTTGCATACGACTTGAGCCAATACATACCATGGGGCCCATGGCAGGAGGTGCATCTGTTTGGCTATGATACGGATTCTGATGAGGAATGCAGACTGTTTAGCACCAAGCAATTGAGAAGCCATTTGCTTGACCATATGTGGGGAGAGGAAGAAAAGGTGAAGATGCTAGTTGAGGTGCATACAAAACCTGCTAAGAAATCTGCCGCGAAGAGAGCTAACAAGCCTACTAAGGAACCAGCTGCTAAGAAACCTAAGAAGGCACCTGTTGAGAAGGCACCTAAAATCCTAAAATCAGCTATGGATGATGTACTATGCAGTGCTACATCATCTGTGGTTGTGGACAATGCGAATGAGGAAGCACTTGAGGTTGTTCAATCAATGGCGAGTCAAACAAGTGCTTTTGTTGACAATGATATTAACTTTGCAACATGTGATGTTGTTCAACCCAATATGCCATCAATTTCTGACATTGCTGAAAGCAATGAGCAATGCGGGTCTTCGGTGGTGTTGGACATAGAACCACCAATTGATTGGAGCCTAATTGAGATTGCTCCTCCAAATGAAGATGAAGTGGATGTTCCAGTTACAGAGGAGAATATGTGTGATTTTCTAGGTATCGAGGAGGATGAGACACATGAAGCACCTTCTTCACCACCTAGTGAAGATGCGTATCTCACTGATGAGGAGGACCAACAACTATTGACTGAGGCTGCTATTCCTGTTGATGACAAGATAGCTCAAGAGGAGGAGATTGCATATGACAAAGAGAACCCTCGTATGTATGTAGGTGCCTTGTTTCCTTCAATGGAAGAGTTCAGGATGGCAATAAAACAATATGCCATTAACAATGAAATTGACATATGGGGATATAAAACAGACAAAAAAAGATATCTCGGACTATGCAGAGGCATCAAGTGTCCATGGAGAATAACTGCTCGTTTAAGGGCTGATAAGAAAACAATAAGGGTACTAAGAACTTTCTTGCTAACAATAACTTCTGTTTCTAGTACTCCAATTCATATTACTTGTCGCAACTTAAGTATGAGTAATATGGATCGGAGGTAGTGATTAATTTTCTTTTATTGAATGCAGTACTATTTCTCATAGGCAATTTGTTTTGTATGGATGCAGGTCACTAAGATGAGTAAGAAACACAAGTGTTCTTCGAGTAGCAGAGTAAAAACCACCATGGCAACACAAGGTTGGGTTGAAGCCAAGGCAATGAGTATACTCCAGAATGATCCTACCATAGGATGTAAAGAACTACAAGAGAAACTCGAAGAAACTTATGACATCACCATTGGTTATGATACAGTTTGGGCGGGTAAATCTAGAGCCGAAAAACAGATTTATGGCACTTTGAAGCAGAGTTTTCAGAATTTGCATAACTTCAAAGCAGAAGTTGAGAAGAGATCTCCAGGGAGCATCGTAGAGGTTGATACCAAGGTAGTAGATGGTAAAGTCCACTTTCACAGATTCTTTATGGCTCTTAAACCTTCCATAGATGGTTTTCTAGCTGGTTGTAGACCATATCTCAGCATAGACTCTACGGCATTGAATGGTAGATGGAGAGGACACTTGGCAGCTTGTACAACATCAGATGGTCATAACTGGATGTTTCCTGTTGCAATTGGGTTCATTGATGGAGAGACCGAGGAAAACTTGACTTGGTTCATGTCACAACTCAATAGAGCTTTAGGTTCAGTCCCTAACTTAGCTATATGTACAGATGCATGCAAAGGTTTAGAAAATGCTGTCAAAAAGGTTTTTCCTCATGTGGAACAGAGAGAGTGTTTTAGGCACTTGATGGCAAACTTCACAAAAAAATTCAAAGGTGATGTGTTTGGTAGGATGTGGCCTGCTGCTAGGGCATATAGGCCTGAAGTTTTCTCCCATCATATGCAGAAAGTCTTGGCAGCTAGTAGCCGTGTGCATGAATATTTGTCAACCTATCACAGTTTGAAGTGGATGAGATGCAGTTTCAATGCAGACATCAAGTGTGATTATATAAACAACAATCTGGCCGAGTCTTTTAATAACTGGATAAAAGATTATAAAGACTTGCCTGTTGATGAGCTTGCTGACACATATAGAGAATTGTTGATGAAACTAGTATACAAAAGAAGGAGAATTGGGGAGAAATTGAGGGGAAAGATCATTCCTGCTGTTATTCAACAGATTTTCAATAGGACTAGAGGGCTTGGTCATCTAAAAGTTGGAAAATCAGGTAATGGTAGTTGTGAAGTCAGGGACACAAGCAAAAACAATCTTAGGCATGTTGTGAAGGTTGACAAACATGAATGCACTTGTTTGGAGTGGCAGCACACCGGAAAGCCTTGTGAGCATGCTCTAGTATTTTTTATGGGGAGGAGAAACCCCAAATGGGTAGACTATGTTCATAATTATTTCTCCTTGGACAAGTTTAGGGCAGCTTATGCAGGTGAGATTGAGCCCATGACAGATAGGAGTCAATGGCCTCATGTGGATGTTGGTTTCGACATGGATGCACCGATTGACAAAGGAAGACCGCCTAGAAGGCCTAGAAAGCAGAGGTACAAGAGTGCCCTCGAAGGTGGAAAAGGTGGTCCAAAAAAGAAAGAACCTAAACAATTGGGCAGCCAAAATAGATGCAAAAGATGCAATGAACTAGGTCACAGACAAGCTGGTTGCCCTTTAAATGGTCCCAAAAAAAGGTAATTATATAACCAACTATATTTTGCATTACTTTTGTCATGTTATGAATTGTTTCCAGTTATATGCATTTTGTATCATGTTGCAGGAAGAGAAAACAGAGAGCAAGAACATATCCTGCTGAAGATGATGAGCCAGGACCTCAAATTGGTGGTGCTCCTATTGGCACACCCAACAGGCAAATTGGTGGTGCTCCTCTTGGCACACCCAATAGGCAAATGCTTACTATTCCTGCCAGTCTCCATGATAGTCCTAGGCCAGTGACAAGAAGGTAATATACAGTAAAATGATTATTTCATTGCAGTCCAAAGTTGATCTCTCATGTTTACTATTCCACTCTTTATAGGATGCTGGCTATGGCCTTAGATGATGAATCATCAGAGCCAACAGAGATACCTTCAACCTCGCGTGCGAGAAAGTTGACCCCTAAGAGAAAAAGAACGTAGATCGTGACGTGCTTATGTGGTGAACTAGATGCTATGCCATGTCATTTTTGGGGGCTGAACATGCTATGTCGTGTCCTTTTGTGTCGAACTATGTTTGTTGATTCTTATGTATGGATGTCAGAGTCAGACTATCTATTATTGTAACCAAATGTTTGCACTTGCCATGATTTGTGAAGAAATGCTGTCCAAGTGGTAGCCTGATGATGCACAAATTTTTTGGCCAAAAAATCAAACTACCCAGAAAAGGTTGAAACAATTCCAGAAAATAAAGAGTTTTAAATTGAGCATTCTGGGAAAATTTGAGCTCACTTGGCCGAACAGAAATAGATAAACTTAAAAACAGATCATTTCCAGCCTATTTTTGGGTCAAATTTGGCCTAAAATTGAAATTATGCAGGAAACACTGAAACAATTACGGAAAACCGTGAATTTCTGGGAGAATTTGAGATCATTTGGCGGAGCAGAAATTAGAATATTAAGAAGTACCCAGAATGACAAATCTGAAGCTCACAACTTCAGAAAGTACACAGAACCACAAGTCTGAAGTTCCTTAGATTTGGGAGAGCACGAACCTGTGCAGCAGCTGGGGGAAGGCAGAGCCCATTGCGGCAGCAGCAAGCTCGGCGAGGGTCAGCAGGAGGAAGCAGCAGCTCGGGGAAGGTTCCACACAGCGAGACCTCGCTGCATCTCACGGACGCACATCAGCATGCAGCGGCAGCTCGTGGAAGGTTGCGCACAGTGAGGGCGTCGCAAGCTCAAGGAGGCACAACACCACACAGCAGCAGCTCAGGGGAGGACGCCCTTGCCGGTATAGCCGCTGCGAGGTCGCACGACGTACGGCGAGGTTGCAGGGCGGCCATCCAGACGAACAGAGTACAGGCAAAAGGAAGAAGAGATAAGATACATGTCCGATTGGGATTAATCATCCTGATTTGGACCAGGGGCATTTTGGTCACATAATTTATACTATAATCTGCCAAATGATCCAAACCGTGTACAGAGGGCAAATCCTCAAGATTACAGCAAATGTGTGGTAAATCCTCAGTTACAGGATAAACGGGGGCAAATCCTCAAAGTATAATTAAAGGCGTGGCAAATCCTCAAATTCCCCAAACACCGAACGAACCACAAAACACAGGGAATCCTTCTTACATGCATCACCGAACCCCCAACCCTTAAATGGCGAACAAAGTCTGAAGTCTGAACTCCGTATTAACTTAACTACCTAGTAGAACCATGACTTGGACAGGGATCGCAAAAGAAGCCTTCCATTCCAACGCTAGCCCTGGGCAGAAAGCACAAGCGTTGGCCCCCCACTCGACAGCCTTAGATAGTCTTCACGAAATGAGGGGACAAGAGCTTGGTGACCTCCATCATATGAACCGTGTCCCTCCCAGGAAAGATGGTTTTGAGCTTCTCGTCACAGATGATCTCCCTCTTGTTCAGTGGGTTCTGCAAATCATGTAGAGGGAGTTTGTATTACAGGACCACAGATGGCAAACTAGTAAAGCAGTCAATTCAATTTTTACCTAATCAGTCCATAGATTGTGCAAAATCAGTAATAATTGAGCTAGCTATTAAAAGCACTCAGAATAACATATCTAAAATACAAATTACAACCTCATCTTTATGACTTCACAAGTTGCCAGTGGAGACTGCAGAGTAGATTTCAAACGGAAACCACTAACTGTTTCTCATAAAGAAAACTATACATCATATAGGATCAACGATGCAATTAAAAAGGTGCAATCAACAAACCACGCATTTATCAAACAACTGTCAATTATACATAAATTCCTGCAGATAGATGGCAAGCTAGTAAAATGGTCAATTGCATTTGGTATCTAGTTAGCCAATAGATTATGCAACATCAGTATAACTTGGCTAAAAGCAGTCAATAGAACATATATAATAAAAATTACAACACTATGGTTTATAAAATTGCAAGTGCAGAGTGGACTTCAATTGAAACTACTCCCTCCATCCCAAAATAAGTGTCTCAACTTTGTACTAGCTTTAGTATAAAAAACTGTACTAAGCTTGAGACACTTATTTTGAAACGGAGGGAGTATTAACTAATTTTGATACAGCAAGCTAGATCATATAGGTTTAACCATGGGAATAAAAAGGTAAAATCAACAATACAGACATTTTATCAAAGTATCAAACAACTCTCAATTATGCATGAATTCCTGCAAACACACAGAAATTCTTGCCTCACCAGAGGAACACAGTGAACAGAAAGATTAGGGCCTAACACCAGTTTACAAGTATTGTTGGTGATGTGCTCGATAGACACCAAGCAACACGCATCCAGAAAGAACCAAGACTGAACATGAAAATTTGAACAGAAAGTGGCCTGCTCATTAGTATTAGAGCTATGCAACCACCTCAGCACATAATTAAAATGCTAGTAGCTCACTCTACCCAGTGAGATTAATACACTACTCCCTCCGTTCCTAAATATAAGTTTTTTAGATATTTCAATATGGACTACATCATAGTCCATATTGAAATATCTAAAAAGACTTATATTTACGAACAGGAGGAGTATCTATCTAAGACAGGGAAATGAGGAATGAACTACAGAGGTTTCCCCCTACAATAATCTTGCAACACAAACAAATGAAAGGTGCTTTATCTTAAGCACAACCCACAAATTATCAGGGTCGAACAGAACACATATTTAGACTCACTTGGATGAAACTTTTGTCAAACTTAATGTGCCAATTACTGTTATATCCAAAAGACAACAATACAGCAGTAAATCCCCCCCTCCCCGCAAAAAAACCCCAATCCCAACATCAAACCAGGCAATACAATCGCTACTGGCTGGTAAGTCGAGACAATCTATAACCAAATCGACCAAAATGATGTTCGCTTCTTTAAAAATCCCCACCGCCCGACGAACACAGCGCAATACAGTTGAGGCCGCACAAATAGGATCAACGAAGAGCTAAGGCTCCGTCCACGGGCACTACCTGGAGGTCCTTGGCCTTGATGTAGTCCCAGACGATCTTGAGGACGCCGGAGCGGGAGATGTGAGCGGCGCCGCCGAACTTGCGCAGGGCGTCCGAGACCGGCACCGGCCGCATGATCCCGCGGAGATTGTTCGGATCCACCGGCTTCTTGTCCGCCTTGGGCTTCGCGGCCGCCGACGCGGGCTTCTTGCCCCCCTTCGCCGCCGCCGCCGCCGCCGCCGATGCGGTCTTCTTGCCCCCCTTTGCCGCCGCCGCCGCCGCCGGGGACATGAGGGCCCGGCACCCGCGGAACACCGTAGCCGCCGCCGTCGACATCGCCGCTCCGCGCTCCGCTTCGGTGGTGGTGTACGGCGAGGGAGCGGGGGGAGTGGGGAGGGCGGAGGGTTTTGCGAGGTTTAGGGTTTGGGGGAAGGCCTGGAGCCCATTTTGTATTTGGAGCCTTGGACTTGGCCGTGGGGATTGGGGAAGGAGGAGACCTCTCCCTTTTGCGTTGCGGTCCTTACGACTTGTCGTAACTACAGATGGATCCGCATATCTCGCCTTTGCCAAGTGTCTTCGACTCTTCGTGCACTTTACGGCAAATTTGCGTTTCTTTCCTGGGTTAATCGTGACGGTTTGTTCGCCCTCCCAGTCCTACTGCTGATTCATATTTCGAAGTATATATTTATAAATGTTACCCCGCAAAAAAAATTATATTTACAATGTTCAACTTTTAAAAAGTACTATATCTATAATGATCGTTGTAAGAAAAGTATGTTTATAATGTAAAAAAATCACCACAAAAAAATGTACAAAAAAATCAAAGTTCTCTTTCAGCCATCGTGCACTTTTTTGGAGCTCTACTTCGGTCGTTGTCGAATTTTGTGGTTCTGAATTTATTTTATAATTTGTTCTAGAAACATGGGCACGAAACAAACAAATGAAAATAGCTATACAGATACGGGGCAAGATAAAGAGATTACTACAATTCATCGCAATGTCAATCACAACCTTCGCCGACAAGATAATGACACAAGAGAAGAATGCTTTCTCCAGTTGTCTTCACCAATGCGACAAATGCATAGTACTCGTGACCTAAAAGGTCTTATATTACTTTACATAGGGAGTAATATCAAAGATACTCAGCAGTAAATATGAACCAAAACGGCATTATCTACCATCACACTAGAAGAATTTTTTCATCAAGCTGACATGAAAACCATGACAAACATACATCACCATTCAGGCATTCACGAGACGCGTAGTACTACAGTGACGTTGGTTGTGTGCATCTCAGTTATGCAGAGGCCAGGTGTAATGCTTAAATCTTTTAAGTAATAAAGCACCCCTTTTCGAAAAAAGTACTACTGACACACAGACCCAATCCAACTGGTCAGCCTCCTTGTCATAGCAATATCATAGTGTTTGGAGCACAATGGCCATTATTTTGATTGGCACAGCTTTGACGCCAAAAATATTCTTTGGACTGGGCATAACAAATGCCCAGAATCCTTTCCTGTCACCAACCGGATAATCAAATTTCGGGTTTCCTAGCTCTACTCGAAAATGGGTAGATCAGGAGCCTTATTCTTCGACCCAACATCTGCATCGTTTGAGGATGCAGATAGCGATAGCGCAGCCAAGGCCTTTGCTTGAGATTCTTTGTCCATGTCCAAGAAGAGGCGATGCCTGGCGAGGAGCAGAGCGCAAGCAATGTGTCTTCAGTGTTAAAAGCTTGGCCACTGAGTGGTGAAGTAAATAACATAAAGTCACATGGACGTAGAACGCTTACCATCTAGAGTCTGATGTTAGCTCTGGGTGGAATGCGGTGGCAAGGATGTTCCCTTGCCGAACTGCAACAATCACCCGATCTTTGGAGTACACTTGGTCCTGCAAGATTTGATTTGCCCATCAGTTCTGTGCTTATTTGATTAGACCGACAAATCCTATTGAGTCCATCTACATTGGACCCTACAACTCTAATCTTTTCAAATATGGGCAGAATATGATAACTGGCAGCAGAAGATGGATATTATGATCAAACTCAAGAGAGCAAAAAAAAAAAAACGCAAACCTCCAAACCCTCGCCAGATGTTATTGTAATGCTGGGTCTGCCAGCAGGAACAGGGCAATCGGCTAATACTTCAACATCCTGGCCTACTTCTAGGATAGCAGGTGCTCGTATAAATACGCCACGGCATGTATGACTCCCTCCTTCCTTCTCTGCAAGCATTGGCACTGAAAGTTCTGTTTCGAAGCTTTGAAGCTGCAAGAGAAATGTAGTCGGCAATGGACATGGTGTTCACATTCTTCCCCATTTATCTGATGAACTTTCGAAGATCAAATGATATTACCAACTAATTTAGCCATCAAATAAACAACATGGACCTCAAATTTACCTGGCTACCAAAAAAGTTACGGTGGACAGTACAATCTAGTCCACCAACAAGCTCCTGGCCTCCTGTTTTCTGCCCTGCAAGTTATATTGCTTATCAGTCATGATGTCCCATCAATTAATCTTATAGAGATAAAGTCCTAAGAAGTTACTGGTCGGTGGTCCAGAATTCCACATACCTACTGCCTTGTTAGCAAGGAAGATGAGCCCAGCACAGGTTCCCCATACGGGTTTTCCTGTGCCGACAAACTCTCGAAGTGCAGGAAACTGCAAAGAAGATGGGTTGAAATGTTTGAGCATTTTACAGTGTAAGTAAATAAACAGGTAACAATTGAGTAAATCTGTCACAAGCTGTTCTGCTGAAGCTACAGGCTACAATGCCATGACCATGTAGAGGAAATGTCGAAAATTACTGCCATTTCGAATGACTACCCTTTTTCACAATTCTCTATTCGACAGCCAGCACCACTACACATAGACGACTAACTGAAATTTGACTTTGATGCAGTTCTCTTTTCCTTTTGATCAATGCAATGAAGCACTAAAACAACCTCTCTTTGGTTTTCCAAACAAACAGGGGGGAAATGTGCATCAATAAGGATAAGACAGTGTTTCTCAAATCTGATCAAAAGCAAGTTGTTTGATCAAATTTCAGTGATTAATATACTAATTGGGCAGGCAATTACTAGTGCAGCGTGCTAACCCGCTTGATTCGTTTTCTGATGTGCAACCAATTACTAGTGCGGTGTAGTACCCACTTGAGTCATTTTCAGCTACGGCAGAATCTAACAAAGAAAGAGCCTTATCATTTGAGTCCAATTCCCACCTTCCAGTGAACCATCAAGTGTCATGGCTGATGCATAGATTCAGAGATATTTCGCAGAGCCTCCATCAACACATACACATACACATACACATACACACATAGACGGCGATTATGAAGCATGTGAGAAAGGAAGAGCCTACGAGGTTGTGGAAGTTGGCGAGCTTGGCCATGGTGGTGCTCTCGCCGCCGGGGATGATGAGGGAGTCGATGCCAAGCAGCTGCTCCGCCTTCCGCACCTCCACCCCCTTGGCCCCGATCCTCCTCAGCGCTGCACCCAGACCCGAAATCAGTAACACGACACGCGCGCAGGCAACCCGAAATCAGTAACACGACACGCGCGCAGGCAAGGCGAGGAGGAAAGAACGCGCGCGCACCGGCCATGTGCTCGTTGTAGGAGCCCTGCAGCGCGAGGACGCCGACCACCGCCGCCATGGCCGCTCCCTCTCTGCCCCTTCGCCTGCCTCGGGACGTGTGGTGCGGCTTTGGTTAGGTGGGTGGGAATGGGGCGGAGGGTGGCGGTGACGTCACGGGAGTGGGGAGGGAGGGGAGGAAGGAGGCGCACGTCGCCGTGGGCGGCGGCCGCCACACACGGTGAGTGGGTGACGCACGGACGGACGGAGACGGCGCCTCTGGGGGAGTGGGAGTCGAGCGACAAAGGCCGTCCGATCGTCGGGTAGGGGCTGGGCTCGGGTGACGGCTGTGAGACCGTCAGCCCACCAGCCCTAGTGGCATGCACCCTATAAGAGAAATAAATTCCTTCTCAAAAAATGAATAGGAGAAATAAATATTTTCAACCCTAAAAAAGTGGTCACCCTACAAAAGAACCCATCAACTTGTTATCCCCAACCATAAAAACATGCTGTCAGTTTGTTCCTTAGAAACGATGTACTCCTTTTTATCTTCTATGGCAATTTCATGAGAAGTGAGCGGTTTTAAAACCCACCCATCAAGGATGTGATCTTGGTATAACCAATTTTGATTTCACGTTTAGGGGTTATTACAGCTTGCAAAAAAAAAGATCAAGAGAGGGTGATTTTGAAAGAGTTCTTGATAACTTTTAGTTTTATTGATGATTTTGTTGTTGTTCATATTTCTTTCTAGCCGTTTGGATCTATCACAATTTCATTGGTTGTTGGATAAAGCCAGAAATCGGACAAGTTTGTCTCTCTCCGGTCATAAAAAACTAGAATTGGTAATCCCGCCGGTTTGTTGAGCTCAATGGCCAAGCCTACCACTTGTTGTTCATATTTCTTTTTAGTTGTTTGGATCTAACACAATTTCATTGGTTATCAGATAAAGCCATAAATCAGACCACTTTGCCTTTCTCCGGTCATAAAAATCTAGAATTGGC